GTGACCGTCCGCTCGGCCTTCTTCACACTCACTAGCTGACGGACCCAGCGGCTCGTGACCTCCGTGCTCGTGACCTCGCCGTGATCAGGACGTCGTGATCTCGTTAGTAACTGGTTCGTGAGTGAGGAGGATGTGACATCTGCTGCGCGCTGCGGCACTGCTGCCGTGGATCTGACGGCTGGGTGAGGACGGAGGTTTGTCGTGGTTGACGTGCCATGGCTAGATGGCTCGATGAACATCGCGAATGCTCGGCGGCTGAGCTGGAACGCCGTGTGTGGTCTGACACCGAGCTAAGCCGAGTTTGGCATTGCACGACTTGGTTTAAGCTCGGTCTGGGGTGCCTTACTTCTTCCACATGACTGGGCTGCTTGCGGAGTGGTCATAGATCGCCTTGTAAGGCGCTCGGCCACGACCAAACGTGTCGTTGGGTCGAAAAGCCCGTATCTAATATTTGAACAAATGGCGTGGCTTCAAACAACTGAACAAGCTGGTAGTAAAAGGCAAAGGTTCGGCTCGCTGCTGCAAATATCGTAAATCGATGTTCACAGGCTTGGCACAAAAGCTCAAACCTGTTACGAAGTGACACTGATCGGCTTTCCAGTTTGCTGCCAACTTGTACAGATTTTGTTTTTGTATCCGGTGCACCGCGCCGCGGACTGATCGGTCGGCCGACTGTGGCAGCAGGCTGAGAAAGCGAGGAGCGCGGGCTGCGGCGGCGGGCGTCGATCCTGTTCCGTAGCGGGTCGGTCCTTGGTTCCGTCACGGATTATGGAGCCGTAATTCGTTGCTTCGTGCGGCCAATATGAGGTGCATGCCAGCCGTGCCTCTGGTGCGCATTCCTCACCGCGGGCGGCGCAAGGTGCGGGCGCAGGTCGACGGTGCTCCCGTCTCCCGTGCGCGATGCGACGCAGTATAATTTAGGGTGCGAATTTTTTATCGTCCCTGCGGAGTATCCCGATCAGCTGCGGAATGAATAGTCTTGCTTTGTCCAAGGTCTATACGTTGCAATGGATATTGTTCAGTTTCTGGGATCGGCCCAGATAGTGTGCGATCGTTGCGGTAGCTTTCGGGCGCGACGGACCTTGCCCCAACTTTGACTTGAGAATACCTAAACGGATTAAATTCGGGTCCTAAATTTAACTCAACTCCAAGTTATACCTACTTCAGCGGAGTTTTGTTTGTGTCACTCAACCGTATCACAAATGTCTGACCTTTGCCTCGGTGTGTGGCCAACACTGGCGGTATCAGCCACCTGACCGAAGCACTTCCGCCGGCCGCCTGTATCCTCCTGTGGGCACCGACGTCGTCCAGTCGCGGTCAGCTCAGCGGCTCCCTGTGGCTGACTAGTGACTAGTCCCTGTCTTATGCGCAAACGGCGCTCATGCGTCATGTCTCCTTGCCATGGGATCAGACCGGCTCGCAGACGGCCTTGGCGCCGCCGTCGATAAAATGAGTCAACGACGACTACTAGCCGCCGTCTGGGGCGCCCACAGGGAAGAACACACACTCACCCAGGCAGTAAAGCTGCGGATGTCGTGCGACACTCACCGGCGAGCTGGCCCTGACGTCACAGCCCTGCATGGAAGCACGTTTCCATTTCAGCGAAGATGTTTGCGGCCGTGCTCGGTTTTCCCTCGGCTTGTGCCATATAATAAGCGTGCATGCGGTTGGAGGTGCTTTTATGATGGGTCGTTGGACGTGGGCTGTGTCTTTGTATGAACTCAGAGGCCTTTGGGGCTCGGTGTGAGACTAATACGGACTATAGCTTGATGGCTCGTGGTTTGGAAATACCCACGTCATCATGAGCTCTTCATAAAATCCAGCGCTCATTAAAAAAAAACTCATTTGTCGTGGACGGCATGGCTTGAGACATTCGACGGGAGAAGATTTTGAAATTCATGGTCGCAAAATAAGTCACAAAGTCGACGTATTACAAAGCTCACGTTAAAAAAGAAAGGCTCAAATTGTTATGAATTCCTACTTCATGGATCGCTAGGAAGGCATTTGATTACACTTAACCGCATAGAATAAATAATAAATATAGGTATGTGAACACAAAACCACTAGTAGGTACGTACAGTAAAGTAAAAGGCAACCACATTCCTCATCCGTCATCCTCTGTATGCGGTTCGTGGTTATTTCATAAGTTAATTTGAGTTTTAATTTTCCGCCCATTTTAATTCATACATTTGTCCGCAAAAATGCCGCCCCTGATCGATAACTATTCTGCGTGAGGCCGACGGTCCACGGTCGCCCATTGATTGGCTTCATTTGTGGGAGGGGCGAGTTCAGCAGTGTCGCCGATTTCCCAGCGTCGCTTCCGGCCCGATCTGTGACAATTTGCGCTCATCATCATCTGGCATTGTCACCGCGCCCGGTGGGATGCGCCGCCGCCTATTCGGGCCTAGGTCACGCGCTTTGTTTGCGGCCATATGACATGAGAGAGGTCATCAGGGGCGTGCGCAGCGCGACGGCGGGCGGGGGGCAAATTTGCGAAATTGCCCGGCCACCGGCGGGCCCTGATTGGATGATTACGGGGTGGTCGCGGCGGAGATTGAGATAGACATCAGTCGCCCGGGGTGGGATGAGTCTGGTTTCATGGCCGAGGGATGGGGAGAGGTGATGTCTCAGTTCTTCCGTCTGAGGACGACGTTCGGCTGACCTGGATGGAAGGACTGAGTGCCCGGAGACGGCGCCGCGTGATTCAGTGCTACGCCCTCTCCCCGTCCGCCCTCCGGCCAAGGGAGAGAGGCGCGGCTATGGCCCGGAGGCAGTAACTGTCCTACGAGCCGTGGATAACGTGCACTACGACAGCTAACTCGGCGGCGGTGGAAGGAGCCTCCAAGATTTTGTCGGATTATTTGATGGCAGATGGTTAGCCGTCTCCCTTGACAGGCGCTGACAGTCACTTGAAGTTGAGAAATTGATGCTCATGAGTTGATTTGAAAAGTGTAATTGGTTTTTGGCCTCGATGAGAAGAAGCTGTCAACATCTCAGACGCGACTGAGCTGCGGAAGCCATCAAACTTGACGGGCCCACCCATGTTTTGGCATTTGTTTGAAGGCTTCTCCAATCTGCTGTCATCGAATCGTTATCGCTATAACCTTCAGTGATTCCGAATCATATTTCACCCGGAATGTTCCCTGTCGTTACGACATGCAGATGTGTTTTGTTGTTGATCCATCCTTCCTTTGAGCCATCGACGGGATGGCCCTCTAGCACATGTTCGGGACGGAAAATGGACCATTAAGCTGCTCAATGGCTTCAAAACGATCACAGAAACCCATTTCCCTGGGCAGTTACCCTATCCACGGGTCGTTTGAATGGCATCCCAGGACGAGCCAGCCTCCCATTCTGCCGCTGACTGTTGTGCTTTAGGCGGCTGAGCTGAGACTGCTGAAAGGGAGTCTTGTGCATTTGGGGAGGGGCTCTCACTGGGGGCTAGGGGCTCTCACTGGGAAATCACCTAGAGAAGGCCTGTACTGTGGCCACACTTGTGCGGTGTGGAGGGCGCACTTGTGAGGAGTGTGTGTGTGTCCTTGTGAGCGGGTCCGCCTGCTTTGTAAAGAGGGTGTGACTTCGAGCCTGTCCCCGTGATCGGATGTGCATACTTGAAACAGGCAGACCGAGTAGAGTTCCACAGCCCATGACTGTAGAGTTCGTGGGCTTGGTAGCGGCGAGAGGCGCCATTGACAATGGGCGACTCAGTCGGTGAACACAACAGTAGTCAGTGCCTATCTGTCTGTAAGCAGCTAACAAAACACCCTCTGATTCGCGAACAGAAATAGAAAAGCTTCTTTCAAAGCAGCATTATCGCTCATTTTGAGCCTAGATCCATGCCTCAGCCGTCTATCGGCCTTTGGGATCCAGCAGGTGCGGCCATTGGGCGAATTTGTCTCTGGCCGGGCCGGGCTGGTGGTCGTTTCCCGTGCGTTTCCACCGTTGCAGTCTCCGCCGGCCGAGGGAGAGCGACCGGCGGCGGCCAGACAAGGACGGAGTGCGGGGTGTGGTGAGCCTGGGCCAACGTCGATTTTACTTCGCTCCCCCCGACTGCTTGCACGGCTGAATTTTGCACTGCGGTGCCCATTATGACTCGTCACATATATGGCTCGCTCTCCCTGCCAGCGCGTGATGAGTCGTCTCGACCGAGCTCGCGGCGGAACCTCGCGACCGTTGCTGAGGGCGACCCTGCCGAGCGGGCCGCAGCTGTCGCCGGCCTCTGACGTCAGCGGTCGGGTCTCTGACGTCAGCCAGCGGCCGGCAGCTGCGGCGGCGCTTTGTCTCGGCATCTTGCGCTGATTGGTTCAGCACCTGGTGCCGGCCCTCGGGAATGACATTCGTGACAAGGTTTGATTGATTTCGGCTGTGGAAAAGTGCCGACCGAGAGCTACAAACGAGTTTTTGGTTGCCTGTTTTATTGGTTTTGCTCAGAACGAGCTTATGACGTGATTGTTGAAAGATGAGCACACTCTTCAATCCTAGTGAAATTTGCCGAAGTTATTGCTCCTTGCCTGTGCCACAAAGGATTACTTATGACGCCATAGGTGGTTAGCACTGATGCACACCTGTCTTCTCCCCACTAGCCCGCCCTCGCCTCAACCTCAGACGACGCGCTGGTGAACCACGATGACGCTTATGGAAGTTTATAGGCTTTAGTGTCAACCGTAGATCCAGCTGTGATTCCTTAATAGCTTACCCGCTCACCCGAGCAGTGACCAGCCCATGACGTCACCAGCAGAGCTTGTGGCGAGTGGTTTGCAAGAAAGCTTGATAAGCAGCATCGGTGGTGAAGTAAATATAAATAACCTGTAAAATACGGCCAGAGATAATATTTTCATTATTTATTCAACAACATGGCAGCCGCGATGTTTGTTGTGAGTAAACGTCATGTAGGCCTGTCGAGGATAGCTGATTTGATGATAGTACCGTCTGTGACTACTGACCGCCTAAGCGGGTGTCCCTCCTTCGTATGACTGACGCCGCCCCTCTCTGCTCCTCAGCTCTCGGAGGACTGCAAGAATGTCGACTTCAGCCGCATGTTCCAGCGGGATGAGCGGCACCGCGATAAGCGGCCCAGCGGCGCCGGTATGGAGAAGCGGGGCAGCGCAGCGGGCGGCGGCGCGGCTCCGGCAGGGAAGCGGCCGAGCGCGGGCGGCGGCGGCGGGCCGGTCGCCGGCGGACCGCCGCCTCACCCTCTCACCTGCCTCGGAGGGATCCAGAGGCTCGCCTGGCAGTCGCTGGAGCTGGCCGGACCCGTCACAGACATCGTACGCATGCAGCAGGCCAACTGGTTCCAGCTGTCAGGTGAGGACCTGGGGGCAGCAGTCGGGAACGGTAGTAGGACGAGTGTGTGGGATGGGCTTGGTAAGAGTGGAGACGAAGGTGGTTGGGGAGCATGAAGGCTTATGATGCAAATGTTCATGGGTGTGCTATTGGAGGAGGTGAAGCGCTACGGTTTGTGAATCTAATTACTTTTGAAAATTTCGCACCTGCTGTTGAAATGCTGCAGTTACCTCTGTTTGACATAGACATTGCACTTGCCACGTGAGTGTAATGTATGTTTTGACATCATATCGTTTGTGACGTACGATGCAAACTATCGCATCCGCTTCGGCAATCTAATGCTAATCGTCACAAGGATGTCTCACCATGATTGCATACGGTGAATCATGAAGTCATTAGTTTTGGTGAGATTGTTTGCTACCTCCTTATTAGCTATTATAGTGCTAGTAATTGAAGAAAAGTGCTAATTTTAACAGTTACACATCGTTTATTTCGCGCTTGATAGCTGTTTAGGATGAAGCTAAGCGTGTTCAGAAGCTATCAAACTCTGCTAACTAGCACTTTGGAGCTTTTAATCAACCGTGACTGTGCTATTCATCCATTCAAAATGGTGTTACGACATGCTGGAAAGTCCAGCAGGCGGATGTCTGACATTTGTCTTCCAAATTAGGGTTTCATTAGAGCGAAAGTGCAGTTGGGTGGTATGTATAATATGACGGGTGCGCTCTCCTTGTGACCAACTCAGTGCACGTGCACTCTGGTATTTCCCAGGCCACCGCTCCCGACCCATCCCGTCCCTGGGTGACCTCGAGCCCGCCATGCTCATTGCTCACTACCCAGCATTCGGCGCAGTTGCATCGCTGAGCAGACCTCGTCAATTACCCGATGGCCCGAGATAGGCGGTGTCAATGTCCTAGAAGGCCTCCTCTGCAACCTCATGCTGGCAGAGAGCAGGCACACAAGATGCAGGCACCTTTTGTGGAGCTGGGGAAGCTGAGCCGTGAACGTTGGGTTACGTAACTGGAACGGATCCCATGTAGTATGTTTCATTATTCTTTCCTTGTTCTATCATTTCTATCGTGAGCAAACGATGCAGCATTCACATTGAAGTAAGTATTGGCCTACACCACGATTTCGAGCCCCCACGAGGTTGCGTTGGAAATACCTACTGCATAGGACGGCCCCGCCACGGCTAGAGGTGGCCAGGGGAAGGACCGGGGCCTTTCACATCTGCAGGATCCTCCCGGGATTGAGAGGCACCGTCTGAGGCTCAGCTCAGACGGAGGCCTATTCAGTGGGCGTGCGGCGGTGACAGTGAATACAGTGAGCTGTTTGAACGCCTCCCAGTTTAGCTGAGCCATAGATAGGCATCACATCAGCATCAGCGCAGGATCAGGCGCTGGTAGGTCGTCATGGGGCGCCAAGTATAGCCGGCTGTAAGCTGCTACGAGTCCACGGGTTCGTATGGGGAACTAGTTGGCATTCAGCCCGCGGCGCACTGTTGATTGGATGCACGCGAGCAGTAAACCGAACACGTGTGGCCATTCCCTGCAGCTGTATCGTATTTCGCCGCGGGGGCTGTGTAAATTAACGTGCCAGTGATACAATGGGTCGTTAAATGCGCGACGAAAACAAAGGAATGAATCAGAGCCGACAAACATCATAATCGCCTAACGAATGGGGTGTTTATCATCCCGGGAGCGCTGATCCTGCTGATTTGGGCTTTGTAGGTCGCCGATAAATTGACCGACCCTCGAACCGTCCGTCTGGAGGCTGTAAGCCACAATCGGCTATTGTTTGGTCTCGTAAATGTCCGCCTTATTAACTGGAGTTCTGGCGGGTCAGGACAGGCAATTTACCATTCTGGTCATAAGTTCGCAGATTTGGGCTCTAGCACTCGCTTCCAGTATGATTTTCAGGAAGTGTTATTCCGTATTCGGGTCCATCATCCGTTGTGCGCAGAGATGACTCATTGTCCAGTCACTGGCGCACGCTACTTCTATCTGTCTAAATCTAACCGTGGCACATGTCCCTCCTAATCTGTTTCCGCCACAGAGCCCGTTCCATTCATGGTGTACCTAACTGTTTGACCTGGTGTGCCGGGGCCGGAAGTCCCCCTCCCCTCGGGCAGTGCAGCGCCGTGCTCCGTGCCTTCCGGCTCATGGTGCCAGCCACGCAGCTGCTGCACACTGTGATAATGCTAATTCGGCCGGTTTTAATCACCCGCATTGCTGGACGAGGTGCCTGCGGAAACGCGGGATTTACGGACCCATGACGCACTCTGTGTCTGTGTCTGTGTCTGGACATGCGGCTTGTCGCAAAACTACTACGATGTAGGGTGTAGTTTCCGTTGAAAACCGGATTTTTCATGTGATTCTATGTTTCCAATCTCTTTGTTCTCGCTCACAATGTCTCGTGCGTATGACTATGGCTTCCACTTTTTATTGCAGTTTTGTTTTCGAAGCTATACTAACGAACGACCATTACTGCAATAAATTCACATACTTTGTTTGCACTTACAGCGTCTGTAATGAAACGTTTCTTCTGACCTGACCTGTATCCATCACTGTCCGGTCTGTGACGTATGCCCTCCCCGCCGACAGGTCACCCGGGCACCCTGGCGCTGGCCGGACCGGGCACCCTCTGGAAGAAGGTCTGTGTGGCGGACAGCGCCGAGTGCCTGGCCTACCAGTCCATGATGAACGACCCGCACGCCCGGCAGCTGGTGCCAAAGTTCTACAGCCAAGTCTGCCACAACGGCGAATGTATCCTTTCGAGCAGGGCTCAGTGTGAGTGGTGGGTAGTGGCACGCGACCTTTTCTATAGTTTTCCGACGCCGTTCCACCTTTGTTTTTGATTCGTTGTGTATTTTTTCTCATTCACCCCACCTCCGCTTCTCTCAGTTTTCTCGGCTGCGCTCCCACTCCCCCATATCGCACCCCCCGCGTTCCGTGCGTCAGTGACACCAGTTCAATCACCGGCGGTGACGCACGACACATGGAAATGATCTGGGCGCGACGATGGGATCCGGGACTGGTATCCGGTCGATAGATCCCCGTCAGCATGTCGTCGACAGCCTCCGGAAATTCGACGCCGCTGCTACTAAAAGATATTTAATTTAAGCGTGAAAGGTAGCTCTTATCGCTTCAGAGTTTCGGTGCTGCTCATCAAAGCTGTATGAAGTTCTATGATGAGCCTCTCGAGTCAAGAGGCTACTCAAGGCATTGGAAAATTGGACAGTCAAGTATAGGAGCACCATAACTCGTTGGTCCCGTTCCCGGATGTTTTCATGTTCACCTAATCTGACCCCTGAATAATCAAAAACGTCGCACTTCAGATTGCACCTTTAACGTCACGCCTCTTGTGGATTCAAGAGCGCAACACTCGGGTGCCTTTATGCTTTGTGCAATGTGCATGTTGTGGCTTAGTTTGCGCAACTTGCGGGAATCGTGACGGGCGCAATTCTCAGTCCTGTGTACGACGCAGCTCAGCCACTAGCGCGTGCCTTTGTCCTGATGCATCACTCTAACTGCCGTGGTCGACACGGGGCTCTGTCTTCCTGTCCTTCCCTTCCCCAACCCCTCCGCAGTTGTGCTCGTGCGTGGTGAACCCGCCTCGCGCTCTCACGTGCGGCGAGTACGTGGGTGCACGTGAGTCACGTGCGACGTGTCCCGCTCGCGGCCGGCCGGTTCGTCTCCGCCGGGCTGTCGGACGTGCCGTCGAGGTGTTGTTCTTCTTCGTGTCCCTTTGCGTGTTGTGTTGGTGACCGTGTCGTGGTCGGGTTGTTTACCAGGGCGCTTTGGTGAAGCTGTCAGTCTGAGATCGCCGTAGTCTGTCACCGTTGACTGTAGTAGTCTGTCACGGAAACTACAGTTGTCTGTCACGGCGGCTGTCGCGTCTCGTTTGCGGCTGTCCGTTTGTCACTGCGAATGTTGTGCCGTTTTGCATGAACCGACCATGCGTGACGTTTGAGCTAGAACTTGCTAGAGGTAGCGTGAGTATTGCGAATCCGATTCTGAAAGCCGTTTAGCTTTATTAAGTGATCAGTTTAATAAGAGGTATTAACTCACATCAACGTTGCCCACGTTGTACTTTCCTTGACCAGTTACACAGACTTTATCGAGATGGAGGACCTGCTGTACCGTTTCGAAGACCCGTGCGTGATGGACATCAAGATGGGCACCCGTACGTTCCTGGAGTCGGAGGTGAAGAACTCGACTCCGCGCGCCGACCTTTACAAAAAGGTGGGTCCACTATGTGGGTGGTGCCGAATCGTGCACATGATTACGGTAGTTGGACATATTACACTTATGGCTCTTCTGCCATCAGGGCGCTTTTGAACGAGATTAGGTGGGTACTGGGTACAGACGTCACGGTATTCACTACTTGGCATAGCACAGCTATGTTTTCCCCATACAGCTTCATTTCACAATCCCATTCGACCGATCAAAACATAACTCGCTCCCGGTTGCGGCATACCTACGCAACATGGAACGAACTGCGTGCTTACTGATCATTGGGATTCGCCGTCCGTCATACTCGATCCGATTCAAGCTAATATCTTCATATCTTTCGAGTGTGATATTCAGAGAACGCTTTACTGCGTTTCGAATTCCCCGTCATTATCGACTATTGGGTTTCAACAGCAGCAATCGGAAGTCTGATACGCATGAGCTACGACAGAAGGCTGATGAGTAACATTCGCACCGTTCCAATTCTGAGACGAGTGTCGCGTGCCCGAACAAGCCGCTTTAGATCATTCGCTGTGTGCCTATATGGCAGCATTCGTGCGGCACTGAGCTTGTCGATCGACACATGTTGCGCTTGTATAACACCTATGCCAAGCATGCATACGGGCAGAGAGCATCGCCTCTGCGACGTCTAAATCCCACGCGGTCCACACCTCGCGGCCTTTTCTGCACTCGGTATGTCCTTCAACCCGTGACGAGACAACCCACGGACAGCGCCCCATGTGTGCCCCCGCAACTCTGAACTCTCTCTGCACGGGCTCGCATAACATGAATAGCACTGATGGGCTGCAGCCGGCCGGCCGGCCGGCCCAGAGGCATGAGATCAGACTCGGACAGCGCCCTGCATGGAGCCGCGCAGTGGCAGCGCACATTGAGTGCAGAGCTGCCTTCGGCCTGCGGTATTGACATTCCGGTCTGCATTCCTTAGACTGGCCTCTGGCCACTCTGCGACCGCCGATGCAGAACCGATGCAGGTCGGGCTGCTGACAGACTGATTGCGGAGCCTCTCGGTCGGCCAGAAGGGTGCCTCTGCCAGACAGTCGGGCTGTATGTCTGCGGTGGTTGGCCAGTGCGAGCCCAGTTCGGGCCTCTGTGGCAGTTTCCACCTGTGTCATCATCTCGTCCAGTGGCTTCGTCGCCATTTTTCGCGTGAGCGGCTCAGAGCCTACTTGCCGAATCGCGTCCTGACCGCCGCCGCTGTGGCGCGACAGTCTGGAGATGTGGGGAGTGATGTGACGCAGACACACGGCCTAATCCTGTCTGGAGACGGCTTACCGTGCGCGAGGGGCCCGTGCACGCGTCCCGGGCCGGCCGGGATCCTCTGGGACGGCGGAGGGTCACCGGCAGGCTAACCACAGCCTTCTCACACCCTGATTGCATCCGGGATGTTCCACGGACAACCGTGAACATAGCGAGTAGACGTTGTTTGTGTATCACTGTGGAGGCGATTCTGGGTTCGCAGAAGATGCTCTCGTGGGCTGATCAACTTAGCTGCATGACATAAATCGTTTACGTGGTATTATGTTGTAATGGTGTAGTTTCCCATATAAATATGACAGACATGTCGCGATGAGATGTCTGCGGTTGATGTCGCCTGGATGGAGGTCACGGTGGCTGTCGTGATTACTCTACCGTGACTCGTGACGGCTTCGTCATGACTCCGGTAACTCGTGGCAGCGTGACGGCGTGGTTTTCGGATCCGCGGACAGGGACATGATCCTGGCAGCGTCGCCAACTCGGCGACCAGGTGCGGGGTGCGCAGGCACGCGCCGGCCGACTGAGTTAGCCGAATCAGGCCAGGGCTCCCCGCCCACTCCTGGCCAGCTGAGCGACTCATTTCGCAGTGTTGGGCTAGTCAAGCATAGCAGTTGGCGGTAGCCCCACTTGAGATTCCAATTTTAGGAACAGGGAACTTGTCATTGCTGCGGCGCAAATTGGCAGGCTGGATCAGTGGAAAGAATCCTGATCCAATTGGAGAGTCTGATTCACTGAACAATAGGTGTGAAGTGGACCTCTCAATGCCTTGAGGCGGGATTTCTCGGCAATAGGGCTCACTCGGGTCCAGAGAGCGTTTCAACAGTAGCTGTCACCTGTTATCGGAGAGTCCACACGGTACGAAGCCGCGTCCAACGTCCGAGTTTATTTCTGGGAGGGATCATACAGATGAAGAAATCCATCGGGACGACCGGCTGCGTGCTGGCCTGCTCATCGGACCGTGACGGGGTCCTCTGCAGGGCCATTGTTTGGGCGCGGAGAGCGCGGGCCACAGCCGGCACCGGGCTCACGCCCGCCAGATAACATAACCCGGATCTGCGCGAGACAATGCAGCCAGCTCGCGTGACAGGGTGGTCGCCGCGGGATCTCGGGCCGCCAGCCATCTCCGTTCGTGGCTGCAGGATTTCGTGGCTCGTGGTCCGTTTCTTCCCCGCGCTGTGCGTGGTGCAATGCGAGCTCTCGCCATCCCACGAGCCACAGTGACCCCTGACCTGTGCAGGCCGGCGCACTCGATGGTCTGCGGCTCTACTGAGCCGTTTGACGTCATCGCTGCCATAAAGAGGCGGCTGTCTCATCAGGAGCTTACCGGGGCGGCGGCGAAGGTGGTGGGCGGCGGCGGCGGCACAGTGGAGGGGAGGGAAGGCAATTCATTGTCCCAGAGTTTCTGTTAATAATTGCCCAGGAGGAGTGAATGTATGGTCTTGCATGCGTCATCTGAGCATGACAGCATGCATCCCGTTGAGTGGCGACCGTAGCTGGTTCTGCCAAGTCATGCTGAGGTATGTCCGTAGGATTTGCACGACACATTATCACCGTCTAATTTGATGGTGACTTCTCTCGACTTTCTCCAGGTGTTTTGCAGTTCCGGCGTGACGATGCTGATTGCTGATTTATGACACTCAGTGGTCATTGGTCACCGACCACAGGTCTGTGGTGGTCTGTCACTTGCCCCGTCTCCAGCGAGCCATGACAGCGTCACGCACTTACCCACTATCGAACTACGAACAGCTAGACTGACGGTCCAGACGTCTGGGGTGGCTTCGGTCGGCCCTGACTGCGACCGACGACCGAGGCTTCATGACGAGAGAAACGACCAGGGGATGCACGGTTTAGGTGCTGGGCGATGCACGTGACCTGAACGGCACGTGACGCGTGTTACGCATTGCGGAGGTCGGGGACTTTGGCCGAGAGGGTTTCGAGCCCCGGTTAGGTAACAGGTGGTAATCTGTGCAGGGCCCTTTGTGCGCACTCGCAGGACCGGCAAAGGATGCCAAGCCCGTCGAGTGTCAAGTGGTGCTCCTATCTGTGTCGGGAACTGGGGGTGCGGCGGCTGTCGAGGTGTAGCCTTGCCCTAAAACCGAAGTGCATTTGCACTGGGGGGGGGGGGGGGGAGAGCGTTGCTTAAATTGGTATAGTAGTTATTGTTCATTCTGCAATTTGATAAGTACCTATTTAGAGAGACATTTGCAACTTGACGGCACGCTGGCCGTGTCGCGTTTTTCATTGTTTGCATCCGCTGTTACAGCGGTTTCCCTTACTAGTGGCTCACTCACTCTCCTCCAAGCATTTGTTTTGAAAGATCTTTGCAAATCTCTCTCGGTATTGAGTAAGAGTACCCACACACGCTCGTGCACTGGAGGGTTATTTAGCAAAGAGTGGAGGCTACTCCATATATCTGAGATCGCACGACGCCTTTTTCCGTGTCCCGTGCCTCATGATGTTTATATATTTCAATGACCAATACCGTTAAAACCGGGTGGGCGTGCTTAACCCAGCAGCTTCCCCTTTCCTAATCATTTATCGTGAGTTCATGGTTAGATTTTGATTACAGCTAGGTGTTTTGATACAGCATATGTGACTTTAGGTTACGTTGATTCATACTGCGCGGCCTCAATACCAATATCGGTATGTGGGTATCCGAACCGTGCAAAAATAGACCCGCACCATCATCTGTTTGGGTGTGACAGTGCAGGGCCTTGTTCGGTTCGGCCTGCAGCTCGGACCGCGATATTTGATACGAAGGTTATCAAAGAACTGATCGTGTGAAGTGCGAAACGTCAACGCAATGCAATTCGATTAGAACGGTTGGCGAACTTCACATCTGTTGTTAAATCGTATTCGGTCGCATTCCTTGTAAATGTTATTTTGTTGTAGGTATTTAGGACTTGATTACGCCTAGAGTTTAATTTCACACCTGTCAGAAACAGGGCTGAAATACAGGGTGTCTCAAAAGTTCGCTTACAGGTACCAGCCATGCTTTTTTGTCAATAATTCTGAATCAACATGAAATTAACAGTCGAAATTTTGCATGGGCATTGGTAACAACCTTCCTCAAGCAGCTTCATTGTTTTCAAGCGCATTCGACCCTTCATGAGCACACAAAAAGGGTTCACCTCTGACCATGGATCAGGCATGAAAATGGAGGTCGCATACTCGGGTCGGCTGAGAAACTCTCTGCTTCACGAGTAATGGGAATGGTTAGGTCGGAAATGACACATGGCAAAGTGTCGGCGAGGATGAGTACAACATGATGGTCATCTAATAAAAACGGTGGCTAAAATTTTTGAAGGACAAAACCATGCGAGACTAACAGCGCTTTGAACGACCCTTGTACCGCAGCAGACTCGTGCTCCGGAAAGCAGCTGAAAATGCAGTCCTAACTATTGAAAACTGACTAGAAGCTCACAGACAGAGGTTACCCAGTTTCAAAAATTGCAGGTCATCATAAAGTAAAGACAAAATATCATTTAAAATTGTTTATAATATCTATAACGCTAAATTTTGAGGGAAAATAATGCGAAAATCGTCAATGCCGAGGACAAGTGACCCTCCAAAAGTGTCAATTAATGTAAAGTTTTATCTAACGAAGTTTCAAGAGGCAGATCTGGAGCAAATAGCTTTCTTTTACACACAAAATCCGGACAAAACCGCACGATGGACAGGTTTTGGCCGTTTACGAAGAAGAACCTCTCCTGAGGAAAACACTCCGGAACCCAGCGAAGGTCTTGGCATTGGGAATGACGAGCGTTCGGGATTTGCAAATTTTGCAAAATGTGTCTAAGAAACAGATGGCCGACACATTCTGCTACGATATGCTGCGAAAAATTTGCCCTGGCACTTCCCATTTGTTCAGGAATGGGGTTGTTTTGAAAAGGAAAATGGTGCTTGGGAGGTCGGCGCCAGTCATTCATGAAGGAGTTAGCGCCAGAGAACACCTACAAAATACTCACGGATGGTGTCGATGCAAGCTATCGGCTTTCAGGGAGAAGCGGATGTTGCCGGGGAGCTCGTCAAACCTAAATCCGACGCAGAAACTGCGGGGGATTCCCCTACAAGAGCTTGAAAGCTGGTAACCTTTTATCAGCCTCCGGCAGCTGACGGAGTGACGAAAATCGGTATGGGCAAATATTTTTGGAGATACAGCAAAGGGTTTGGTTTCCAACCTTCCGAATCAGTTGTCAAAGCATGCATATTTGTCTAGTGTACACACGGACACCAAAACCTTAGATTTTTGGCCGGTTCTTATATGCTTTATTGACATGGGAAATGTGTAAGCGAACTTTTGAGACACCCTGTACATGCGGAGATTGTGTTTACGACGCCAGGAACACGGAATCGTCTTCACACCACCTTTAGCTCCCGCTTAGGGCATGTTGCAGCGATCTGATCATGGGCTCATCCCCGTGCGACGCCCACTTCAGGCAGAGCACTGCTAGTAGCGGGAATTAGCACCCTGTCGGGCAGGGCTCATCCTTTATCCACGGGATCTCGAGCTCTGCAAATCCGTGACTGACGGCCGAGCGAGTGAAGGTGTGAAGGGCGGGTCCGCTGTCGTCTGCAGATCGTTCGGACCCGCCTTGCAGTTATGTGCCGTGAATCCTTCTAAGGAGCTGGTGATCTAGGGTCATCGTTGCAGCTGCCGGCAGAGACGGTGCTTAGCGGTCCGCCGGAGCCCGTGCTTGGTGTTGAGACGGGACATCAAAAGCGGCTCTTCCGTGTGAGCAGAGATCGTCCGGTTTGATATAGTTGAGGTTCGGCTGAAGAGGGCTGCTCAACTGCGATAGCTGCTCGCCGCCGACACGCATGGCTATGTGTAACGGCCCCGGCAATGCTGCGACGACGAAGTGGAGACAGGTGCCAGATCCTGACGAGGTCCTCGAGGTCCTGATTTGTTGTCGCTTAGGAAGCTGGTCCGCCTGCGTTGGTCGATTGCTCCTCAGTACCGGCTGGCACTGTAGGAAGTGGTGCACAGTTTGACTGACAGGGATTTTACCAGCATCCTTATAGGCCACCCTGCCCACATTGTCTACACTCGACCTTGTCTCTTCACCACCCTCCCCACCACACTATCCCAAATTAGGACCACCCCACGGCTCCTCTCCCGGTTCCGGCGCCCGGGGCCACACCCATCCCCTCTCTCTGTCAGCCCCGCCCCGGCGCGGCGGTGTGTCCCGGGGTTCCCCGCCGTTCCCGGTGCCGCCTGGAGACCGGTGCTCGGTCACGCCGCATGCCGTGCTTCTCCGGACTCCGTAACGGTCGAGTGAAGCGCATCTGCCAGTTGCCAACGAGCGCAGGTGGTCCCTGACGTTATACAAACCAGAGGATAAGCCGGTGGGATCGTTATTTATGACTGCTTTCGAAATGGACGAGTTTGTTAGCCAATGTCGGCGGGTGCATTCCTATTCTGGCTGCTGGCGTAGAGCCGGACTGCTATTGGTAACCAGTTAGGTTTGGATGTTCGCTTGGCACGCCATGGAAGCAGTTTGCCACAGAGGGACATCCGACATTGGCAGTCGCCGGCTGGAGGTCGGTCGTCCGTCAGCCGGCGGGTGGACGGGTAGCAGTGATACCTATCTGGCCCGCCGTGACCAGAGGTGCAGCAGGTCACAGTCCACGTGCCACCCGGAAAACCGAGCCCAGCCGCCCTCCGGTCTCCATCCTCACCAGGAAAACCATTACCGACGCCATAAAAATGACAGGCACTTAGCTATTTGTGACGCTCGCCGCGGCGGGGCCGGCTGGTCGGTGTGGTTTGGGAGTGAGTAACGGGCACGGGGGAGGGCGGTGTGAACCGTAAACCGGAGCCTGGATGCCGGCTAGCCCCGGTGAGCGGGATGATCTGAATCAGCGGCGATTCTGGTCGGAGTCGGCACGTCACGATAACGGACGTCGCGTGACTCGTGACTCCGTGTCATGCCCCGTTGAGTCAGTCACGACATGTTGACTCAGTTGATCCAGTAATGCACGGGCCATGCTAGGGACATGCTATCGGCATCGGCTGTAATTGTTTTTGCGACTTTTTTCTGATCAGCCGTGTATTCTGTTCTTTATCGTGGTGATCAGGAATAGTTCCTTGCTGAAGCTGCTCCGTTCGGCCAGCATTCGGAACCGATGTCGAACCGTCCCGTCGGACAAATGTCGAACGCGTCCGGCGCTGACATGTGTCAGCGGGCCCATCAGTTTCAGCGGTCCCGACAGATCGCTGCGTCACCGCTGACCGCACATCCGTGAGGCCGGACACGCCGCGCCCTTGACTGGGACGGTCTTGTGTGACCCCTGCTCCCTGACGTGACCTCTGGTAACCTACCTGACCTGGGCGACCTGATTCTGCCCAGACCTGCTCAATCAACCAACCGGCCTTGACTGTGATTATGTGTGTCATGTTGTGTAGATACGCAGCTCTTCGCAAATAGAACATTGCCGGATTCGAACCGGTGCCAATGAGTCTGACTATTGCGGGATGCTCGTGAACATTACCGATAAGACACTTCCATCACACCTCTTTCACTCATACATTCCTTTGGTTTTCCTATGAAAACGGTATCTTTCTGCCGGAAGGACGGTCGAATATTCAATTGCAACTCTAATCTTCTGATCTCGCCTCTGATACCTAACACACTTCTCTTCTGATGTCTTCGTGATCTGACCTGGAACTATGACTTCCTCCGGCAGATGGTGGCGATCGACCCGAAAGCGCCGCTACCTGAAGAGCACGAGGCGGGCGCTATCTCCAAGGTGCGCTACATGACCTACCGAGAAGGGCAGAGCAGCAGCAGCCAGCTCGGGTTCCGCATCGAGGGACTCAAGGTATGTGGCAAGCTCAGCGCTTAGTGGAACAGTCTGACGCCCGGAGAATTATTGAACTCTGGGAGGGAGACGTTACTTGAGGCCCTCGATTCGTGTCTGTTTGGTGTGTGCTGTGTAATGTGTATCATGTATGTTCAGTGTACTTTACGGAGATAACATGCAAATTCCAGACTGTTTTGACACACTAATCAAAGCAGTCAGGCCTCCGTGTGTCGCTGTTGTCTCAGACTGACGACAGGATTCCCCTGCGATTCCTCCCCGCGTTCTTCCGCTCTGCTCCCACCATCCCATCCTACGGAGAGGCAGGAAAATACGTTCGCAAGAAACCCGGGCGTGACGTTAGTGTGCAATGATGACTGGACAAATTCACCGGGAGTCCTCCCGGCGTCGACGTTCGCTGACAACATGGACGATCAAAGGGGCCTCGAGAAAGAACGGCTGAACTGAAGAGTTTGGTGCGGCTCTAAGGACAACGTAAGGTAAGAATGCTCGAAGGCGAACAAAAAAGGAGAAAAAAAGCTTGCTTATGCATTCGCCGGCGAGTGATAAAGGTAACAAAGGGTGGAGTCTCGAGACTCAGACTCAACATTGAACACTCCCTCTCTCAGAGAGACTCGCAGTGTGGAGTGGCGCAGAGCAATACCGGATTTCCACTGTGATCACAGTCACGCTTTTTCCTGGCCGAATGTTTGCCGTCCTCCGTAAATGTTTGCTCGCGCCCGGACGACTGATGGCAGAGTGTCGGCAGCTGCGGCGCGGCTGCGACGTTCTGCGGCGCACCTTCACTCCGGCGCGCCGAGGGCAGCTGAAGAACATCAGTGGAGGTCGGACAGAGGTCGTCGGTGGTGGTTGCGTCCGTCGGTCAGCGGCTGCCGCGATCGCTCGGGGCTTCTCCGCGGGGTGCGATGTCTGGTGGGACTGCGGTCGGGCTGTGGCCGTCGACACAGGCAGTGTTTACGACGTCCAACCGCCGGTTTATCACCGTCCCGTCCGCACCGACTGCTATTTCAGGCAGAACGGGAGCAGAAGCATCCTGGTTGAGTCTGCTGACGATGGCAGCGTTCCGTATCAACAGCGAGCCGAGAGACTACACGAGGCTGACCCGGTGGGAAGTTTGTGGCTGAAATCGTCTGCCAGGCCTCCCTCTGCAATGGTTGATTATTTCCAAGCTCGCCATTGACATGACCAAGGCAGCTGCGGCGGAAACAGAGGTGACTCAGCCAGTCGTTATTTCTTCCACTGGTAAACAGACGGCCGTTGGCGTAGGCCGTAGATTCACGGGTTGTCGCGGTAAACCAAAAAGTGCACTGGTGTAGAGCTAACAACAGTTTTAGGTCGAAGGTGGTTAAAATCGTAAACAGAACAGGGGTACGGCTGAGGTGTCCAATTACTTTTGACTAGTAAGCGGTGACCACTGGCTTTATCACTCGCTAGTCCGACAGCCCAAAGCACTCCTACGTTCACCGTCTATTACGTCACAAAGCCGTGGCGGTCGGCGTCATCCGAAATCCGTCGGTACCTTGGGTCCACCGTGCGGCCGGAAGCCCCATGGTGACGAGAGACTGTCGGGAATGGACTAAATCTAGGCTGTAGCTGGGTGCGATAACGTCGATTGGCGACGACACACAACATGTGGACCGGAAACGGGTGGCGTGAAAGGTGACTGGATGACCGGGCGAAACCGCGGTCCACAGCTCACAGGGTGACGGCAGCATGGGTGGGCCACGGCTGAAGGGCGACGAGGATTTTAGGGTGCATGATGTGGAGGGTTTGAAGGTGTGGGTTAACCCGCGCCGGGCCGGGGGGTGTTTGAACACCCCCCCCTTGCGGTTTTTCGCAGATATCTCAAAAACGGCGGCGCGGAGCGCCGCCGTTTTTGGCACACCTGTTCGTGCATCTTTTCCGCACATGTTGTGAAAATTTCAGACCCAGGTCACCTTAGGTCAGGTCACCAGGTCACGCCAAGTGACCTCACCTCAGAAAAAATAAGAATGCTCGTCATAGCTACACCGACTGAACGATTGCCTTGAAACTTTCAGCGATTGATTAGAGCAACACTATCTATAAAATGTATATCTCGGAATTTTGATATCGGTGACCTAAGGTCAGGTCAATTTTGCGGCCTCTCCATTATAAGTCAATGGGAGAAAATTGAAAAGCGTCTGTTTAGCACGAACTCTATTCTAGACACTTTCAAACATCGAGATGTAGATAAAATAGACACACTGAAGCAGAAAATGGCAGCTGTGACCCCTCGTTATGTCCCCGAGGTCATCTCAGGTCACGAACAGAATCTAACAGTTTTTCGATGATAACTTCTGATAGAGGCGTGCTAGAGCGCTGAAAACGCCTTAGATGTGTTCGGCTCGACGTTGCGGATCGACTGATATGCAACATGACCTTTTCCGGTCAGGTCATGACCTTGACCTGAGGTCAAATTTTCAAGTTGACCTTTCAAGGTCAAATTATAGTTTATTCGACGCGTCTCGACGAGGGGAACACGATGCTGGCAAAAGTAATGTCATAGCTCTTTTGAGTCAAAAGTTATTGTCGAAAAAACGTTTTTCGTAAAAACGGCTATTTTTGGAGTTTTTGCCCTCTGGAGGCTAAACCGTTGACCTGAGGTCAAATCTGAGAACATTACTCAGAAAGGTCTGTAAAAGGGCTATCGAATGCGCTTTTTTGCGGCGCTGTAGCTCTATCGGTTCCCGAGATAGCCGTTGGCAGTTTCCAAAATGTTGAAATAGTCAACATTTTACCGTTGGTGACCTCTGGTGACCTGACCTTTGACCTGACCCAAAAAATGACCGAAGTGTTTTCGTCCTTATTTTTGACGTTCTTTCGATTGCCGCTTACCGCGTGTCGCTACGTGGCCCAGGAGCCGAGTTAGAAGGGGGGTGTTCAAACACCCCCCGCGGCCCGGCGCGGAATCTCAGAGCACCGGCCCGGCGCGGGTTAACCGAAACCGCTGTTGTCTTTATTGTTTGTTCCATTAGGTGGTTACGTTTGCGGTACGTTTGTAAGATGGAACTGGTCAGGGGTCTTTGCTTGTTGCCAGTTCGCCACTCTGCAACTGGTCACCGCTAGCCCGTCAGTTTTGATTGATAGTCCTACCAGCGGTATTCCATAAGCAGTCTCTGGCCGTTGGCCATTGGCTATGCATTCCTCGGCCTCCCTCCCGCGTCATTACATCTCCAACTGACTCGGTACACGTATTTTGGAATGTCCAGGAATCTTGGAACGCCCAGCCGCCCAGGCTGCCCGGTATCCTGCTACACGATTCACGAAGTACACGGTACTGTCGGTACACAGCACCTTCGCGAGGGGATTGCTCACCCCAGTCCGGGCCAGGTCCCCAGCTCTCGGTTGCCAGGCCGTTCAGCACCATGGCCTTCGTTTGAGTGGTTACCAGGCCACGGCGGACTCTTGTCTTCCTAGCCGGGTGTTCGGTGTTCGGGTCGACTCCGATGTCGCCACGGCTGCTGTGTGACAGTGGACACCGGATTCGTGATCAACGGATTGGCTGTGCAGCCAAGATCAGCCAGCCGAGGAACGGGGGAGAGTCGATGGAGGCTGGGGCCAGGTGGAAGCTAGAGCTTGCCCAAGAGTCACAGCTTCGCTGGTTGACGGTAGCACGGCTATATCTGACGACGCTTTCGAGGCTGCCTGGGCGGATTGAGGGTGATGAACTGATGAGTGATGACGCTATGCCGTGAGAGCTGATGACGCCCTGGCGTGCTGATCGGCGACAACGCGAAGGTGATATTCGAGGTCAGGAGGTGGTTTTCACCATGAACCTCCTGCCCGACAGGATACAATATCCTGTCGCCAGATACGGACCTCGCAGGCCGCAGGGCTAAGTGATCACGTGATGGCCCGGTCGGGGCCACGTCAATGCCACGTAACACCACGGTTCGCGTCCACACCATACCACGCCGACCCCACGTGGTCTGTCGTCTCCGAATTCCTGCCGGTCCATCGTTTTTGGTCCGGACGGGGATGTCTGCCGGCCCCGCGTGTAGGCGACTCGATCAGATTAATGAACTCCTCATGCGATCGGGTCCTCCCCGAAACGAACAAGGCCGTCCGGCCGCCGAGCCGCTTGGTCGTCACGAACAGACTGAGCAGCTTCCTCGGTCTGGTGCGAAGAACAGGTGCCAATTGGGGTCGGATGAGCGGGCCGATTCGTTTCGCTGTCCGAATTTGCGCGCTGAGCGCCGACAGCGGCGAGCAGAGGCGGAGTTCTGAATGTGTACCGCTGCTAGATGCGGAGGATATGCGTTTGTGCACTTTGCTAAGTCGTGCAATGTGTATTATGCATGCGAGGTCGTGCGGTGCATACTATAGCGTGCAGATTGGATTGCACTGCGTAGGTTTCATCTGTCTAGGCAGGCGGCTGGGCCGAAACCTTGCTGTCCAATTGTGATTCGTGATTTTTAGCCCACCTGTGGAAGGTCACGTTACCAACGAATGGGTACTGTAACTATTTGTCACCTCGGTGTCCAAACATGCGAATTTCCGACCAAAACCTACCGCTGTGATGGCTTCCTGATCTGTCGCCTTAGTCCTGTGACAGACACCTCGTGTCGGCCGTCTCCGAGCCAGGTGATGACTGCAAGAGGGGCCTGCTCCCCGTGGTATGCTGGCCCCGCTGTGCCACGGGGAGTCAGTGTCCGATGACGTCCCTCTCAGCTCACCAGGGCGCCGGGTCCGAGTGCCTCCCGTCAGCGGCCTCTGTGTCATCCGGTCGCCAGTTTCCTGTAGATGAGTCGGTGTCTGAGCCTGAGTAGATCAATTGCGTCAGTCACAGGTGGGGTGAACGGATTCTAACCTCGGAACTCGGGTCCGGACGGCACAAAAACGACCGCCTGACTCCCGGAAGAGAAGTGCTGTTACTAACTGCTCTCTTTGCAGCTGACCAGATGGTCATGAAACAACCAGCTTACGAGAACAATTCCTTGAACACGGAGAAAGTAGCTGGATTCCCATTTCGCACGTTTCGTTGCGTTCGCTCAATTACCTCGAATGTCGTTTGACACATTTGACATTATATAATCCAATCAAGCGGTCTTCTGCGAACGATTCTTTTTCGTTTTCCCGGTTATCCGATCTCGTGTTTCAATTCAAACACTCGATCTGCGGTCGACGAACCGACTGGCGTGTATTGACGCTAATCCAGCCCTGTCAGAACCACTTCAGCGTACAAACCAACGCCTGGAATGCGTCTGGGAGTCCCAATGACCACTCGCGTCCCAGCTGAGGGAAATTCGAATCAAGACTATCGTCCCTCGGTAGTGTTATACAACGGTATGTATCACAATTACATTCGACACCAACCGCTTACGGTCATGGAAACGGCACTTTCACAGAATCTGCCTTCACTCGTGGTGACCGACAGCCCTTCCGAGCATTCCCTTCCCTCGGCGAAGGAGTCATTCTCCAGTTTTGCCGGTCAGTTCGTCTGAACTGTGGGCTGTGGCAGTGGCAGTGCGGTCGGCGGCGGTCGGGCGGCAGCCGCGCTCGGGCCGGGGCGGCACGTCCGCTGGCCGCCGCGTGCGTCACTCTGACGTCAATGGCCGTCTCGCGGCGCGGTGAAGGGTGCCGATAGCGCGCCGGCCCGCCGCCGAGGCCACGCGCCGTGCCGCAGCCGCCGCGCGACACCGAGCTCCTCATGACAGCTCGCTCAGTGGAGCAGGAGACGTGCGGTATGCATTAGCTAGTCAGCAGGTAGGAAGAACCGCAATCGCCAGCCGTGAAAGCCGACTTTCTGATGTCAGGCTCCGCTGCGGCGTATGGAATGTCTCACACGGGACGAGGTTTAGCTTGAGTTGGTCGGACCCGTTCTCTGGCTGCTGCGCGACCTTTTTGTCGTGACTCATGACAGCTTCTTGCACCACGAACGGTGTGTTCTCAGCGCCACGGATGTCACGTACCGGGAGATCCTCATAGCAACAGAGAAACTGTGTACCTACTAACTGAAAAGCTGACCATTGCAACGGGCGGGTTTCTAACACGTAGAGTTGATGGGACGAGTTCCCGGTCAACGGCCCACGCGTCAAATAGGAACGATCGTTCTCTGGTGAGATAGCTTAGGAAGAATCTGGATCTCGTCAAGACAGTTGGGGATTGGAGGAACTGTGCGTTGGGCGAGGCGGCAGGTCTAATGAGCTCGTTTCGATGGCCCGGGGAGACGCCAAGGCTAGATGGGTGCTCAATCAACCCGATGCGTGGACCGCTTTTGAGGCGCTCGACAAAAACTGGCGTCGACGCCCCCTGGTGTGGAGTGCGATCCATCACAGCGTGGAGAAACCGCGGCCCGCTGTGAAATGGATGGCATGGAAATGTTGGAAAATCCACGGACAAACCACGGAGGGATAACGACCGATCAGCCAACGCCAGAGGCTGCGAAATTCCCAGAAATGACGACTGTGTTCTGAAGAAGAGCGTGCAATATCTTTAGGCTTATTTGCGCTGGTTACAGGTTCGCTTTAATTAGGACACCTGGGCATTACGAATAAAGCGAGTGTTATGTGGAAGGAATTATCCAAAGCCATTGCTGAAGCCCTTTGTGGTTCCACGACCACCGACAAAGGAACAGCAAAAGCTCTTCACCCCTCCCCCTCCCTACGATGGTGCCTTTGTCTGGTTTTCGGCGAAGCTTCAGCCAATCCTTCCGTTGTCCAGGAGTGTGATGATCTCGTCCGCTACGACGAGCTGACGTGGCACTCCACCACTCACTTATCAACCCTGACTATGGGAACCTTCGTCCTCCAAATTAGCCCCACCATTCCCCATGGGGCTCGACTCTTCGACCTAATGTTATCCATACAAACATTATATTCGTCCTTATAAAAGTCATGCCCTCATTTGACCTCTATCTGCTCTCGTCCCTTCTAGTTACACCTGCCCGCTCTCCAAGGAGCTCCGAGGACCTCCCGCTCACCTCCCCGTTCTCTCTGGCCCACAGATGCGCGGCAGCGACCCGATCCGGGACCTGAAGCGGATCCGCGCGTGGGAGGAGGTGCTGTACACCATCTCCGTGTACCTGGGCTCGGCAGATGTGGCGCGTCAGATGCTCGCCCACCTGACCAACATCAGGGACAAGTTCGAGGCCAGCGCCTTCTTCCGGAGACATGAGGTGAGCTGAGTGATATGCGCGGATAGTGGATGCGAAGAGGGTACGAGAAAAGTATCGAGTAAATGCAAGCAGAGAGGAATGAATGGACAAATAGTAGGCATATAGGTTGTAGATGCAGCGGGACAAGTCCCGTGGATGCAGTAACAAAAAGGCGAACAAGTGCAAAATTGGCAGAAGAATGCCATACCTGACGCAGGTCTGGTTTCAAGAAATCTTCCATTCCGCAAATTCAATGACTGGTTATCGCGACTGAAGGGAACAGTAAGCAGTGGCTCGAACGATGTGCCCACTGACCCAGGCTCCTCAAGTGTCTGTGAAGGTCCCGCGGACAGCAGCGTACGCACGTGCCCGGGCCGTCTCTCAGCCCGTTCAGAGCGGTGCCAAGGTCTCTGTCCGGCCCGTCGTCATGTCACCGCTCCATATTGGGCAGTGGCCGGGGCTCGGTGGAGCACGCCTCCCCGCCCCAGTGCGCCGCAGGGACACGGCGCCAGAATACGATACACGGGCTGTAAATGCTGCGGCTGCCGGCGGGCTGGCGCGGACCCTGTGGACTAGTGGTCGTTCCATGGCAGCGGTGTCCCCGCTGGCCTGACACCCCGCTGCGCTGCCGCCGCCGTCAAGGGCTCGGCACTCTGCAATATGTGGGGCCGGTTGATAGTGCCCTCCGGCACGGTTAAGCAGATTTGGGGGACTTCAAACGGACCGCCAGCGCCGCGTTCCGGGCCGCTATCAGAATGCCTGCACCCTAATCAGTGCTGGACGAACCGCAAGCTTGATCTACATAGCCTCTAACGGGAAGGCATGTCTGGCATCTCGCTCTAGGAATGACAGTTTCTGTCTCTTGGAATGATTACTTGCAACATAACGAGCTGCCTGAACCAGAGTTTCTTGGCCTTAGTTATGGTCATTAATTAGAATTCCTCCATAGACCACAGTCATTCAAGCGCCTGACATTAGAATCACCACGGCCCGCCCCAAGCCATGGCAACACTGTACAGCGCATACGTTGCTACTTGCTTCAGTGTCGTTACCTTACCGAGCGCAGTGATGAAGCGCCTTCGAGCGCCTTTTACGTGAAGTCGACGAAGAGTCATGGGACAGCCCGACTCGACGCCTACCACTTGATATCACAGTCACGTGGAGTCATTGAGGAGTCATAGGCTGACGCGTTTACTACCTTCACGAGGAGTCATGTTTAGTCAATGAACGGCTCGGAGTCAATGGAGTCGGCCCGGTGAGCGGGGATCGTGCTCGTTTGGCGCCGGCCGAGGCCCGCTAAGCTGGTTGGGGCAGGCTCGAAGGCAGCTTAACAGCTTGGCTAATGACGCCGGTTCGTGTTTAGGGCCCTCAGCCACGCGGCCGGCGGCACTCTGCTAATTAGACGGGCGCAAACGGGCGACTGAGCAGAGATGACGGTGGTCACCACGTTTCCACGGGCGGGTAAAAGATAAGGGACAGAATTATGGTCAGAATAAGCGATTTTAACTGCAAGTTTATAATGGGAGTTATCAACAGACTGTGGGCCCCTCTTGCTCACATCATGCTTGTAACGCATTTCGCTACTGTTTCCAGCATTTAACTAGCTGAAGCTCTATTTCTGTTCTTATACTTAGTCTAGTCTATATGTAAGTCTTGTCTAGTCTGACTAGTATCATTGCAGACTGCGTCATAAGCACGCCCCGTCCCACCTATCCCGTTCTCTCCCCGACCTGACGGTCGTCTTTCCCCTCGTTCCAGGTGATCGGAAGCAGCATCTTCCTCGTGTACGACCGGCGGCGATCGGGTGCCTGGATGATCGACTTTGCCAAGACGAGCCGACTGCCGGACGGCCAGACCGTCGACCACCGCTCTCCGTGGCAGCTCGGCAACCGCGAGGAGGGCTATCTCACCGGGCTCGATAACCTCTGCAAGGTGAGCGGCATGATGCGGCGCCTGTGGGCCGACCCGAACCCGGCGCTCCCAGAGGCGGCCGGGCCGGACTGTCATTAACGTCCAGCACGGGCTAGTACGTAGTACGTGCAATCGCCCTGCCAGATGGGAGTTGCGGTCTTTTAATTTGTTTAGTTGAATTTGGTTAGTTTGTTTGATTATTTTAGTGGGCTCGGCAGTAAGTTGGGATTATATGGATCACGACGGTGGCGGTTCTTTTTAGTTTTAAAATTTTCTCACAGGAGTTTATGCTCCATGGTAGTAGCGATGACATCATGCCCTTCTCATTCTCGCCGTGTACCCAAAGCCCTCAGTTCATCAGTCAGACTTTGTACATTCGTACCACGACATATGTACATTCGTTTGCTATCCGACCGAGCTCTGGCCGCAGCAGCACCCTGACCGTCCTCCCTCGGTCCTTCCGCAGGTCGTGCAGCAGGTGGAGCGAAGACTGAGTGGTTCCAGCCACCAGCCGCGGCCCGGCTCCACCACCTGAGCGGCCCCGGCCGTCCCTCCCGCTCTGCACACACCTCGCGCCGCCAGCGCCGGCCACCAGGAACCTCGCCACCTCGCGCGCCGGGAGTTACCCGGCCTCTCGAGCTGACTGAGCGCTCAGTTTGAGTCTCGAGCCGAGAGCTCACCTTGTTGCGACCTGGACGGTCGATCTTTGAGCCGTCTCGGGCCGGGAGCGTATCCCGCGGTTTTGAAACTTGGAGATCAGCCCGCTGGAGCCACCAGTTCGTCTGAGACGCGGCACTTTGGCCGCGCCGTACCGCCAGCAGCCCCGAGTTACCGAGCGGGCGCCGCTACCGCCTTTAACGGCAGACGCCAGCGCCACTGCGCGGCGAGCGCCTGTACCTTCTGTTGTCACTTGTTACTTGCGTCCGCCGGGGGTCGATGAGAGCATTGGGACCGGTCGGACCTCGGACTCCTGTGTTGGAATCCGCCGGAGCCGGTGGATTGGATTGGAATCGCCCGGATCGCGAGATCGCTAAGGATCGCTAAGGATCGTTATAGATCGCTGCGGATCGCGGGCGAGGGAGAGCGATCCTACTGGTGACGTTCTGACGTGGACGGCTTCCACCTCCGGGAAAAACAGACAGTTGGGACCAGATGTATATGTTTTATTTTTCTGTGACGATCATGACAGCGCTCCCAGAGGGCGTGTGAGCGATACCTGTTAGTGTGAACACGTTGTACTCGTATGTATGTATGTATGTGTGTATTGTGAGTGACTGTTCGGCGACTTTGTGTACAATAATAAACAAGCGAAGAATGCCGAGAGACGCGTCGTATCACCACTCCATTGGATCTGAAACGGAACAGAGAGAATGGGTCACTCGGGGAGCCATCACAATCGGTTATGGAGGAGGAACGATAGAGGTCGAACGATAGCGGGAACAGTTTTGGGGGTTGAAACGCACACAGATGACACAAAGTCGGCCACGTTTGGCCGACCTTTCAAATCTGAAATAATAATGATAATGATTGATCAAACGTGAAAGCCCGATAGAGCTGATGATTATAGCAATGCGTCAAAGATTCGCAGCACATCACCAGGATAGTCTCATGTCTCAGTTATGTGGTGAAATCCCTGTTGGATAAAAGTGCATTTATGGCACTGAACTGCTCAAATCGGCGGCCACAAGCCGCACGAGTGGGTATAGTAGGGAAAGTGGCGGATCAGTTGCTTACACGGTTACGGTCTGGAGGCGCTCTCACGGTTCGTTTTGCACAATTTTGTCTTTTTAATCTCCTATTCACATAAAGGTTTGTAGCAACGGCGCTCCGTCATGCACCAGAACATCAAACACAATCCTTACAACGGCCTGTTAAAATGGTTCTTGTTGGATTAAATTGCCTGTCGACAGTCCTGGCAAGGGCCAGTCACTCCATTTACGGCTGGTGGTCCACGAAAATGACGCAGGCCGGGCGGCCAGTGACGCAAACGGTCACCGTGGCAACGGCGAATGCCGCCACCAGCCAGGCAACGGGAAATAACGAAACGAAAAACACACACACACAAGCTGGTCAGTTACAGCGGCGTACACGAGTCGTACTGGTTAGTCGGGAAACGTGTCCGTTTTGGTTGTCTATTTACTACTATCTTGGTCATTACCAGCTGTGGAGCTGTAAGTGTCGAGGCATTACCGATTGTCAGCCATGTCGTGTATAGTTCTCGGAAGGCTGACAGCCGCGGCCATCTAACGAACAAGCATTGCGATGGTTTCTCCGGCAATGCTCGGATCACGGTTTTCTGACTCACAGGCCGATAATCGGATCTCGGCGCCCTTTCGGTTCATTGGAATGACTCACACCAATCGATTCTAAATTTTGCTATAGAAGCCGTCGTGTATGACTTTTGATTAAAAAAAAGTTTTGAAGGCTCAAAATAGTTCAAGGCTTTGTGACTCAAGATAGGTATACAGGTTTCACGAAACGCAGAGCCAGTAAGAAGCGTTACACCATCCACAAGTCACGCGGCTATCGCTAAGAAAGGTCAGAGCCCTGAGCGGTTCACCAGACTCCGGTCGGGGCACACCGTTCAACCCAACGGTAAACGGGAGATTGATCGCTGATAACTTCATATATTGGCTTATTTGTAGCCTCTGCGGTTTCAAGTGGGTAGAAAAATCGCCACAAATATAGTGTGGGATGGGACTATCTGATGAACTCTTAGGAATTTCGTAACATTATCACGCTAGTCCGGCCACTGCGCAACATCTGCAAAACAGATAGCGCCGGGCAGCAGCCTTCTCAAACAAGCCAGTTCTGACAGCTAACTGAAACGCTGCGTCAAACTGCTAAGCTAGGGTAAATCTTCTGATAACAAACAACTGTAAAGCTCACGCCGGATGTTGCCATTGATTGTGTGGAAAATCATACATCGAAACCAGACAAACCACCAAGATTCTTATGTGGACTCGGCGCTGGACTGCAGCGGCAGACCTATAGCGTTACACATTCAGCAACCTTTCTGGTCCAGCTGGTGACCTCAGTCCTGCCCCGGATGAGTCATTGCAAGGGTGGCTATTGCACACTCAGCAGTTTAGCGAATGACAAGATGACGGACGAGGTCCACAGCGGAGCCGTCACATTTGACGGACGGACTGTCAACCGCTTGCGGAACCAACATCGCCTGACGTGAGCTGTTTAACCGACACAGGCAGGTGCAGCTATGATTGGAAAGGTTTGAATGTCTAACAGACCTTTCTCAGGATGAAGAAAATACAAGCAGTATACGCTAGTTATTGTGGATTGCTTCCACATAAACTTTAATAAAACACGCTGAATGCAAAACATCGTAATGGACACCATCTAAAATCCATGTAAAAACGTTCTTAGCAACACACTCCGATAAATAACGTTGAACGTACCGTCCTTTTTGTTAACCGTCGACCGCTCCCGGTCGAGACCGGCCAGGAACTTGTTGAAGAGCTGCATGGCCGGCTTCAGACTGGTCAGCATGGGCTGCGACACGTCGGCCGGCGGCGCCTCCTGGTTCTTCAGCGCTTCGTTCAGCTCCGACTCCAGCTGACTGGATGGGGGGGGGGGGGCAGATAAGATAAGGTATCATTTCAATAAATATATTATCATATATTTTAAAATATACAAAATAAATATACAAAATAAAATATCATATAGCCTGAACAAGGGAAACTCGAAGTATCGCAGGGCACTGGTGTCAACTGCTTGGAAATCGTGGCAAACTGATGAGGTAGAATTCTGAATGGCTGCAAGCTATCGGAAAACGTTATTCGGTTCCGCGGTTCACACGCACACAAAGACAATCGTCATTTCTCGCACCCTAACTTGTCACCGGCCTCCTCTCCCATCCCATCGGCCCTTCCATCCCATCGACCCTCCGTTACACCGCACTCCAGTTCTCCACATCCACCACCGCTCCCTCACCTGACTGTCGGGACAGCCATCGGGTCGAACTTGTCTGCCGCGCGCGCCTCCATGGGCACACACACGCGGCCCGTCTTGGGATGGACGCAGAAGGGCGCCTTCAGCAGATGGTTCAGCCCCTTAGTGACCTCAATGTCCAGGCGGGGGTAGGTGTACTGGAGGATGATCTCTTCGAGCAGACGGGGGCTCGTCGAGCGGCTCAGTTTACCCTGGTGACGCAGGTAAGAGGACACAGTGTCAGCGGAGGCTGGGGTTTGGAGTTGAGAAGAAACCCAACAGCAAGGTAACTGGAGATTGTAGGTGTCGTCCTTGAGGGTTGAAGATGCTGGCTGAGCAAAACAAAAACCAAATTTAGTAAGTAAGATGCATAATACTATAAGGCGATACCGCGAAACGGCACAACAATGTCGCTTGGTATTTAACTTTGAACAATAAAGTATACGATATTTTACGACATCCACAACAGAAGACACGCCGCAGACGATGCCAGGCATGGGTCAGACATGGTCACTTCACTCTGGATTTACTACGGCAAATCAGTGAAATGGCACTGTCGGATTCTCATCGTGTCAGTCCATTATCAAAGTTCGCCTATCTGATGCATTGCTCGAAGGAGTGGTTAGGTATATCGGCGTTTATCATACGTCTATCAGTGCGTCATATCACTCTATTGTTGCATGTTAACTCAGGAACAAATAGCGCACGCCTGTGGAACAGAAAAACGCCATGGTTGGTCGCCCCATTTTTTCGGTTTAGAGGCAGCTGATAACTATCAAGTTGTTTCGCACCGTATCCCCATTTCTACTTTCGCGTGCGGGGAAGTACCACTTACCTACGTCACTCACAGGCTATTTTTCACTAAATCTACTTTCAGTTTTCAGGAAGCATGACTTGCATGGGGTTGCACGTAAAACGCAACACGGACCGTAACTATATGCATTATATAATTAATAACTGAAATTCAGAACACACATCGATATTATGTTGACTGTGCCTGATACCAATTCCACGCATGATCACTAAAAAGCTTATCGTCTCGCACTTTTTTAAAAATGTGATGTCATTGGTTGTATAACGGGAAGAGTTGTTCTCTTCATCGTAGTTAGTTCAGTCAATCTCGCTACGCGCTGTTTTTATTCGGTGCACCCATTCGAGTGTTGCCTCCGCCAGCTCAGTTTCGCCAAATCTGTAATATCTCCGTCTCGACGCGGTCGAATCCCACAATCGCGTGGAAGACGTAAGCAGCCTTCTTCTTCACCGCTACCTAAGATATAGCTAGTAGCTACGTTGGCTAGCATGGCAACCGCTGTCCAGAACAGATGCATTTCTGTGAACCAGAAGCCCCACTCGCGGTCCACAGCTTTGTCTCGCTGTTCGTGGAACCCCGCAGAGAAGGCACGTGCCCCGGAGCCGGCGGCGTCGCTGTCGGCCGAACCTGAACTCGATGTCTATGTAGTTGAGGAGTCACGCGGCAACGGGAAGCGAACACACAGAAGCGACTCTTCTATCACAAATTCTGACGAATGTTAATGAAATGATAATGTCTGATAGTAGAAGCGCTGTTTTGCATTCGACATCTCTCCCAAAGAGCGATGGTAATGTGCCTATTTCCTGCTACCGTTACCGATGAGATATTTCTACCTGCGTTCTGTGATTTGCATGTAAAATCATAAGTACTCACCGAATGGAGATTCCTGGTGAAGACTCCCTCCAGCTCCTCCCACTTGTCCTTGGAGGTCTTTAGCTTGAGGAACGAGGTGGCCAGCTCTTTGCGCGTGGCATCGTCCGGGATTAGCTTCAGCAGCTGCCGGAGGAGTGCGCCCCGTCAGCACTAGATGGTGATTGGAAACTAAATAGCGCAAATAAATGTACTAAATATGACATTGTAGCTAAAAACGGCCAAAGATACCAAACAATGCGAAGAAGAGATTCGACCATGAACCTCACTCGCAAGGAAAGTGAGTTCAGTTTTCATATTGCACATGTGCGATGTTGAACTTTGTTTTGTCCATAACGTCCCCCATGCTCCCATCATCACACTAATAATAACGTAAGCAATGTTGAACAATATGGCGCAAATACACACTATTTATAGAACACTTCCCGTCTTTTCCTGCATATTAACGTCAGGCATGCACTTGAGCAGCAAGCATAGCCGTGTCAAAATCAATCCCTGGGCTTTGCACAGCCTGAGTCAGTACGAGGCCCTCAGCGAGATTGGTATCGCTGCCACCGGTCCGGGCGCGAGGCTGTATTTGGCACTGGCAGAGCCAATTACAGTACAGTCATAAAGTGTAAGTGCCACCATCAAAGCCTCATAATAGCACCTACGTCACCTGCCACTCAATACGTCACTGAAGATAA